GTTGTCTTGAAACGGAGAGATCCTCAGAAGAACTGCGGCCGCGGCATGTAGCCACGCCCCTGCATCTCCCGACAAGGGGTATATAACAGGACTGTATTCGGGGAGAAGAACGCTCTAAACAAGAATGTTTAGTTATTTCTGCCAAACGAGGTTTTTAGATAGAACCGTTTTATTGGCCCGACGTTTCGACCTTCTCGTCTTCTTCAGAGGCCTGAAAATGGCTCGAAGCTTTCAATTTGTCACCTACCCGATCAAGCGCCTCCCCCACTCTAGCGTTTCCGACGTCGTGTTCCGAAACCCCCGAAGAACCCAGCAATAACCGCGCTCAACTCACCGAGGTTCCACCGTGCGGAGCCTTAGCTCACGCCGGGAGCATTTGCACTTTTGCCTACTTCCCATCGACGTATATCGAGCCAACTAGAGAGCTATTTCATGAGCTTACAAGAAATGATGGGTTTGAGTACGGTGCCTCGACGAACTTGTTCCAGCTTTACAAGAGCTCACAGGGCCCTTTAGAATGAGATTTGCAAACAGACGGGGATGGAAAGCAGAAAATCTCGCCTCACGCCGGACCGGGTACAGATCACAAACCTGGAATTATTTGAAGACTTAGACTAGTAAAAATGGTCAACTGAGTACAGTAACAGGGTGAAGATAATTACCTGATTGATATTATCGTAAACAAAAGAACGGCAACTGTACACTCCAGTTTGGCTGTGGAGGCAGTGAGATTTGCAGTGAACTAGGGACATGGACGATCTGGAAAGAAGATTTTGGAAGTGATAAACCTCCAATCTGCCTTTGGTTGCTTTCGGCAGTGCTGAGCAGAACAGGAAGCCTGTTGTGGGGAGTTCGAAGATAAAGTTGGCGATAACAGGATGTTTACACCCCATATCTCGAACCTGGGGAGGGCGTGGCCTCGAACCTAATTCTAACATAGCGCACGACGTAATTTGAGCAAGATGCTTCTATTTGAAACAGCTGTCATACTGTCTGCTGTTGGGCAGAGACGTGACCCCTGTTGTCTTGAAACGGAGAGATCCCAGAAGAACTGCGGCCGCGGCATGTAGCCACGCCCCTGCATCTCCCGACAAGGGGTATATAACAGGACTGTATTCGGGGAGAAGAACGCTCTAAACAAGGTTCTACTTTCTGAAGTCGGATTAGAGCAATGTATTAACACTCACAATCAGTGAAGGAACATAAAATAGTGAACAAGAGACTGCGGGACAACGAAGACCGAGAGCACACACACTAACCAGCGAACACCCTAATTTCCAGGCGGCACTTTCACTGCGGTAAGGAGGCGTGACGAGAAATAAATCACAAGTCTCTGACATGCTTGCTTGCAGTCTCTGACATTCAAAAAAGTGGTTCAGGCTCTGTGGCACCGGATCCGGTCACTCCCATCGTGGACTGTGCCTTTAACCCCTCGCACATAGGCCACCCTTGGACTTCTCCCTATTAAACTGCAAAGGGGTTTGTGAAAGGAATTCTAGCTACAGTATTCTCCGGTGGAGTAGAACTCGACTACTCACCGTCTTTCATAGGGTTGCGCATTCACGATGATACAGTTCGCATAACGACGGAAACACGGATCGTCTGTAATTGACAATCTCTACTTCTCATTTTTATATTTTATTACATATCATTTGTTATGCGCATTTTTCTGCAACACACAGATTTTACCAGTCATTCAGAACTTCTCAAGACAGTATTACAATTGATTGTTTGCGGAAAAGATGAATTGTAAGCCCATGTTTACTAGTATCACTGCAATTGGGGAAGGAGAAAACATCAAGGCACATGAAATCTCCAACGGAGTTCGCACTTGGGCTGTAGGTGGGATCGTTGTTGGCCTGGGAAAAAATTTCCAGTTGTAATAGTTGGTCCGAGGTCTACCCAGGGCACGCCATCGCGTTGTTCTTTTCCTGAAAAATAAGACCCCTTAACTGCATCCTCACATACGACCCCCCCCCTCCCCCTCCCCATCCTACCTACCAATTTCCTAGATCTTCCCAACTTCCTACACTTTTCCATTTTCCCCGAAAAATTTCCAGTTTTTCGGGGAAAATGGAAAAGTGCCAAGAAGAATGGAAAAGAGCCGAGAATTGTCCGTCGAGCGGACGGGAGGAGTATACATACCCAATGTGAAACCGGAAAATTTCTCAGCAGATTTTCTCTAACCTTCTACCTTCGGAATTTCCCGAAAAATTTCTGATTTTTCCCCAAAATTTTGCTGTTGAGGGGGGGGCAACGATCAAATACGATCCCCTCCATCGCGGTCAAATACGACCTCCCCGTTGTGATCATCACAAATGGCGTGCCCTGGGTCTACCCACCCACCGTCCCTTCAGCCATTCGATTGCTCAACAGTAAATTTCCGGGAAGGTTCGGTTCGGAAAGGCATCTGTGCGGTTGTGGAAGGGGTTGTACCGTATGGCATTCGCAGGGGGTGGTGGATCGTTTTCATCAAAAATTCTACTCAACGCCAGGATGTGTTGCGGGACACATGCGGTGGAGCGACCACGTACGCTTATGTGTGCCCTTTTACCGAGACTGCAATCCTCTCCCTCAGGCTCAACAGTGTTCCGACGACAAGGTTCCGCGCGTCCTAATGCTCCCCCCC